AAATGCAATCCAGAATAATACGTTGCAAAGCTTCATCAAAAAAGGTTTCAGAAGTTACTGTGCTGCTTTCTTAGAATTTCTTGTTTCTTGTTTTACATATTCTAAGGAAACTACAAAGTTCTTCTTAAAACCTTTTTTGATTAAGAAGCTTTCCAAATATTTTATTTCAACATTAGTTTTTTTTTCTTTTTTCTTTTTTTTTAATTGCCATTCATATCCATTTACACTAATTTGGAATCTTAAAAGATAGTTTACTACAAAAAAGGCATAGGCCAGCTAGAGTTAGTTTGAACAAAGATAAAAGTAGATAAAATTGATTGCAATGAAAATAAAACGTTTTTTTAAATACAGCTTTTATTTTTTTAGATTGTGTCTCTTATTGTATATTAATGGAAAATAGAACATTTAGCCAAATTAAGAAATATTCCAAAGTTGCATTAATATGTTTTTAGCTGCTCACAAAAATACAACTGCAAATACAACTGTAATCTTTACTAATTTAGAAGGTTTCAACAGTCGTCCTCGTGTTCACTGCATATTACAACTCACATTGATAAAATCAGACCAGTTCTGGTCCGAATTTAGAGGTCATTAGAGGTGAGACCTAAATTTGATTTGAGTCCATCTAGAGCAAGGGTAGGCAATTCCAGTTCCTGAGGGCCGGTATCTTTCAACTTTTAGACATGGCTTTTGTTCAACACACCTGAATCGAGTAATTAGTTGATTGAGAGGACTTGGAATGAACTGACTGCATTTAAAGGAAATTCCTGGTATCTTAGTAGTTGAAAAACATGTTCATTATATAAATTAATCTGTCCCCTATTAATGATACTACTACTAATGATAGTATGAAGTTGTCTCAGGGACCAAATGTTTCATAACAAGATCTTTAAGTTATTTCTTTTCTTTGTGTGTTAAAACATTTTAAATGTTTAAAACCAATTAACAGTAATGCAGCTAATGTTTCTTTCTTCTTTTATAAGCCTATATAGATAGTCAAGTGCGTCAATGTTCAGGTAAGATTTATTGCCCACCCAGTGGACCCCTGATTGTGTTGTGATAAAAATGTTATTTAATCAAATCATATTTGTACTCTCATTGGTTCTGAATGTCTAAAATTAATATCATAGCTTATAGCATAACATTCCTAAATATCAATTCATATAACCAAAGATTGATTTATAAAAAAAATAATTTTCCATTCTCCTGAGAGGTAAAATTAACTATTTTGTTCTGTGTAATGTTAATATAATACTACCGCATTTTCACGACCATAAGGCGCACCGTACTAAAAGGCGCAGTCTCAGTTATGTCTGCCATTACTGTATTTAACACACACATAAGGCGCACGGTATTATAGGGTGCGGGTTTTATATACCGGTACATATCGTCTACTACGTTTAAATACCTCTACTGCATATTTAAAAATAGAGCGGGAGCAAAACTGAGTATGCTTGTGCTTTATTCATGTATTTATTACAAAGTATTAATCAAACCTGGGAGCTGGCCGTGAGACAGACAGGCAAAAGTTCCAAAAATCTTTTGAGGAATCTGCCACAACTCAGCCACCTGACGTCGGTGTGCAGCAGCAGATCAGTGTGGTCTGCACCTGCCTCCTCGAGCTGTGCACTGAATAAATGCCTCTGAAAACTCTTGGCCCGAACAGTGCAAGCGATCTTCATCGCAACGTCCATGACGTGCTTCATATTTAAAATACTGCCGCACAGCTGTTGTTGATGAATGATGCAGTGGTAGCTCCAAAAATCCAGGAAAGTTTCAGACAGCTTGAACAGAGCAAGGAATCCAGCAATGCGGCCAACCATAGATGGAGCCCCATCAGTTGTGATAGATGTCATTATATCAGTATCTCTTCAGATTCCTCTTCGCGCTATAGAGTCCCTGGTAACAACCTAGCAACCGTGGCAAACCATGCCCAGCAATCAGCATGCATGAAAAAAGGTTCCCTGCATATTTTTTATTTTTCATTTTATTATTATGAAAATACACATTGGCCTCTCGTGATCAATGATTTGATTATTGTTTTTAAAAACTTTTTTTTGTCACAGCCATAAATAGGTCTACATTGTAAAACTTCTCGTGATCGACTGAAGTTCCGCGTACGATCGACTGGTAGACCGCGATCGACTGGTTGGGCACCCGAGATCTAGAAGGTGTTTAGATTGGTATTCAGGGATGTGTTCACAATGTCAGACTAAAAGTGTTATCTCCTCAGATTTAGGGCCCCAGACGGGTTATATGTCTACAGAATTAATGGGTAAGTAAAACATTATCAATAAATAATTTATTGATAATGTTTTTGAAGTTTATTAAATATTCAATTACCATTAATAATAATTGACACCAAAATTCAAAAGATATTTTGCAGATAAAAATTAATAATCACATAGATTTTCTGCACAGTCACTGTTTGACTGCATGCTTTAATATCAAACCGTTAGCAAGTTTTTTTCCCACATTATTCTATTTTATTATACTTCATACAGAAGCAGGTTTGTGTACATTAAAACTTCAGTGTCCATAGAATAAACCATTTAAAGAAAATTCCTGGTATTTCAAACTTGTTTATTTCAGCCAATACTTTTACACTTGAATATGTAGATCTTTTTTTATTATTGAGTAAGTAAAACCCTGTTACAGTTTCATCAATAAAAGATCACTCAAGTTGAAAAACATGATTATTATATAAATGAATCAGTTTTACTATTAATGATACTACTACTAATAATAATAATCATATGAAGTTGTCAGGGACCAAATGTTTCAGATATAACCAAAGATTAATTTTAAAAACTACATTATCCATTCTCCTTACATGTTCCATTAACTACCATTACTTTATTTAGAGTTTGTTTTCGGGATAATGTTAATATAATACTAGTATCTATATGTTGCATAATTATACACTCATGGAATTCAGGTAAAATCAACGATCCAGTATTAGAACAAACTGGATCCGATTGTAACAAAAATAATCTATTCTAAATCTTGAGAAATCTTTAAAGATGGTTTGCTAAAACAAATTGTCTTAGGCCAGTTAGAGTAAGTTTGACCAGAGATAAAAGTGCAATAAAAACATCTTTTTTTCTTTTACAGCAATAGTAGCTACAATCTGCATTGAGTCTCTTATTATAAATTAAGGAAAATAGAAAATGTAGCCAAATTAGGAAATATTCCAAAGTTGCATTAATATGTTTTAAGCAGCTCACAAAAAAACATATTTAAAAACATTTCCACTGACTGCAAATACAACTGTAGTCTTTGCTAATTTAGAAGGTTTCAACAGTCGTCCTCATGTTCACTGCATATTACAACTCACATTGATAAAATCAGACCAGTT